TGTATCTATCAGCATCCTGGCATATGTCCTTTACAGTAGATGCTCAATAATATCAGTTGAAAAGAATTGATAATACATATCCTAGAGCTTGAAATGAAAGCTTATGAGAGGCCTCCTAAAAGATACACTGAAATTTATTTCCAAAGCTTTGGGAACTTTCCAAGAAAGATGTTTACCTTTCATGTAAGGAAGGACAAGTTATCAACGTACTTTTAGAGAAGATCTGGGTCCTTTTAATCTCATAAATAGAACATTTCCATGTTAACAGATTTAATTTTGGAGAAGATCACATCTCTGGGCACCTGGAAGCTGAAATTGCCAAAGGCCACCACACTAGCCACAACCTCTACCAATGCCTCCCCCAAGACATCCCACTCCTGAAGAGAGACAGTGTAAATCTCCTCTTTGAAGAGCCCTGCTCTGCATGGTCTTAACTGTGGGGTATATCAGACTTTATTTAATTGACATTTGGTCTCCAGAGAGGGACTCACTAAGTAGAAACACCAGGGGACACTTGAAGCCATTTAGAGGCAGAAATAGAACCAGCTCCTTGCAAATTTAAGAGTTTCTGTCAAAGAAAATGGTAGAGTGGAGAAGAAGGATTCATCTCAGACACTTGGACATCCTCCAGATTCACAGTTCACTGTAAGATGGGGAGAAGGGAACCTATCTCAGTGTTGCTGCCGGGTTTGGATAAGAAGTTTCCCTGTAAGGTTCAGGTGCTGACGGCGTGGTTATGAACTGGTGGATCCAGCCATTGGGAGGTGATTGGTTCAGAAGAGTTCTGACTTCCCAGTGAATTAATCCATCGACAATCTTCATCTGATGGCAGTATTGGGAGATGATGGGATCTTTTGGAGGTGGCACCTACTTGAAGAATGTAGATGACTGGGTACGTGTCCTTAGAGGCCATGTCTTGTCCCAAATTCTTCCCTGTTTTCCCCATTTCCTGCATTCTGTGAGGTGAATGACTCTGTTCCTCCAAATTCTTCCACCATGGTGTCCTGACTTATCACGGTCCAGAACACAGCAAGCCAAATGCCCATGGACTGAAATCATTCCTCCTTTTAAATAATTTCTTGTACTTATCACAGTGATGAAGAACTGGCTGCCACAGTCGCTCTAGGGAACCCCCCCCCCATTGTTACTCCACCCCATCACAAAGGAAGCTGGTAGAATACACCAGCTGAAACAAGCCACAGGGTCACTTGCCCACTGGTAAATTTTCACACTTGGCATGGTGTTTAATAAACGTGGAGTAAGTGGATTGAATGCTAGCAACCAAACAAAATACCCAGTAGGTCCATTTGTGTAAGTTGCTTTAAGGATCAAATCAATTACAATTTTAAGGCAAATAATCTTCCTGTTTGTTTTATTTCTTAGGCTAATCCAAGGACGGTTTAATCAAGGCTGGTACTATTTCATTGTATTCATTAGAATAGTTCAGGATCCACGTGTAGAATTTAGGTCCCTGAGGGCAAGGATTAAAATTTGTTTTCTTCTTCCTTATTCAAAAACTGGTGGCTGATTCTAGGAGGCAATGTGGTGAATTCAAGAAGGTTAACTTTTAAATGAAAATTGTTAAATAAAGCATTGTTTCCACTAATTATATTACTTTAAAGTACTTACTGCAGTATTTTGCCATTAGAATGATCCAACCCTGGTGTAGTAGTGCATGCCTGTCGCTAGCACTTGGGGCCCTGGAGAAGGAGGATTAAAAGGTTGAGGCCAGCCTTGGCTTCATAGCAAGACTCTGTCTCAAGCTCACAAACAGTGGAGCAAAGGAAACCCAAATGAACTGAGTATATATTTGCTTTATTATTTTTTGTAAACTGAAAAGAAGCCAAATCAAGCAACAATAAAAAACAAAACAGAACCTCCATCGTTTCATTCGTATTATTCCAAGATATTTTGGTCCATTTCCATCTGCACAACAAATTGTGGATTTAGTAAAATGCACCTTTGAAGGAAAGTTGCTTATTTAAGAAGAAAACATCGGGAGGCAGAGCCAGGCGGATCTCTGTGAGTTCGAGGCCAGCCTGGTCTACAGAGCGAGATCCAGGACAGGCGCAAAGCTACACAGAGAAACCCTGTCTCGAAAAACCAAAAAAAAAAAAAAAAAAAAAAAAGAAGAAAACAAAAGGAAAAAAAAATCATGTATGAAGCAGAGATTTCATTGTTAAACATGTGATACTCGGCCTCCAGAAAGTTCTCCAGTTTATGAGGAGGAGTTTTGACTGGGTGCCAGGGCACTTCTCTGGAAACGGTTCTTAAAAATATTAAGTAGAAAAAACACAAAACAAAACTCCTGACTTTAATTTGGTTTTCAAGGCTTTAAAGATGTTTTCTTCACAACCACGGCAATAAGGGAAAACTGGAAACCGTGAAAAGGCAAGTAGAGCCATGAGAAAAGCAATAATACAGCCATTAAGAACAAAATGATAGAATGTCAAAATAGGAATCCCCCTCAGAATCCCTAGGCTTATGACTTTCAACTCCTAAAATAAAGCTTTGAGCTCTGGGGAAACGGCTGAGAGAAACGCTTTCTGGTTTTGGCCAGAACTCGTCTTGAGCCTTCTCAGATGAGTCATTCCGCCCAGTGAAGAGATTCTACCTCTGTCCCAGGGCTAAGATGCTTCAGTGAATGGCAGCCATCAAATTCTTCCTAACACTCCCTGTGCTGGGCCCCTGGTCGATACCCACTAATGATTTGTTTACTCGGTGCCTGGGGATGTAGCTCCGTTGGCAGAGTGCTTGCCTAGCATACCTGGTAGCCTGGGTTTGAACTCCAGCACTGAATAAAGCCAGGTATGGTGAAACACGCCTATAATCCCAGCAGTGGGATTGGTGGGTAAGAGGCAGAAGGTCAAAGCCATCCTCCGCAAATGGTGAGTTTGAGGCCAACATGGGATAGATGAGGCCATGTTTCAGGAAAAAAATTTTTTTTCTCACTTAAGTAAACCAGATGTCCTACATGAGACCAAAAGGCTGGAAATTTTTCTTTTTCTTCTTCCTCTTCCTCTTCCTCTTCCTCTTCCTCTTCCTCTTCTTCTTCTTCTTCTTCTTCTTCTTCTTCTTCTTCTTCTTCTTCTTCTTCTTCTTCCTCCTCCTCCTCCTCCTCCTCCTCCTCCTCCTCCTCCTCCTCCTCTTCCTCCTCTTCCATCTTTGTCTTTGTCTCTCTGTCTCTGTCTGTCCCTGTCTGTCTCTCTCTGTCTCTCTGTCTCTCTCTGTCTCTCTCTGTCTCTCTCTGTCTCTCTCTCTCTCTCTCTCTCTCTCTCTCTCTCTCTCTCTCGTTATTTAGCTGTAAATGCTCATCTGTCTTTCTCCTTCTCTCCAGGCAGCTAGAACAATGCTTTCTTGCCAGTACTAAACCTTCTATGGATGACAAGAGCTTTATCCTTCATCCTCAGATGCACTTGCATTTCTCCACCCTGCTCATCTTCTCTGGACTGAATTTTCCAGGCCTGTTGGCTTAAAAGTCCTGATGAATTCCTTTTGCCTCTGTGTCTCCAGTGGCTCAGCTTTTGTCAGACTCTTTCCTTCCTTCCTTCTTCTCTCCCCCACTCCCACCTCTCCCTCCTTCTGGTTCCTAATCCTATTTCTGTCTGTCTCTTTGTGGTACTGGGCCCTGGATGCAGGTCTCTACCACTGAGCTGCATCTGCAGCCTCTTTTCTTTGTCTCCTAACAGAATGATGATGTGAGTTCCTCAATGATGTGTCTTCATGACCAGTGAGGACTCCTTTCTGAATTACCGGCATAGGTAGAAGCAACAGCTATGTTTATGAATATTAGAAGTGTTGGTGCCAGTCTTTGCCCCGGATCACCCCAATTTTCCCCTCCCCTACTTAATAACACCTCTTGATTCAGGAGTCAATAGAACAGTACCAGTGTTCAGAGGCTCCTCCAAGAAGACATTGGCCAAATGCTCTAGGGCATTGGGATTTCTTGGGGAGTCAGAGTGAGGGAAGGATGCTCCTTGGAGGTATATATTTTAAGCCTTTTTTCTTTTCTGTTGTGTGAGTCTTTTGGCACTTTATTTATTTATGTAGGTTTTTTTGAGACAGGTTACTTTGTGTAACCTTGGCTGTCCTAGAACTAGCTCTGTAGACCAGGCTGGCCTCGAACTCATAGAGATCTAGCTACCTCTGCTTCCCGTGTGCTAGGATTAAAGGCATCCACCACCACCACCACCACCCAGCAGCACTTTGTTTAAGATGAAAATTGACAAACATCCTGCTTACAAAGGGAACTCATTTTCTGGCACAGCACCAGAGTGGGACCATGAGACGGGATCTAATGGTAGAAAAAGGAAGTGACATCAGTCTTGCTAAATAAATCTCCTTGCTTTCCTGGGTCCAAGTTTCTTCTTGGATGAACTGGAAGTGATAACTATTCCCAAACTAGTCCCCAGGAAGCCCCTGAAACCTGTTAAGCTTTTAGTGCCACACGTGGAACATTGTAAGGGCCTTAGGAGCCTGGCCCCTTGACTGCCTTCTCCTTGGCCACAGGGCTCTTGTGTAAGCCCCAACTCTTCTTGGATACTTGGGTATCCAAGCCACCTGAAGCACCTAATCGTGACCTCATAGATTTGATGATAATCACAACTTATTCAGTGAGCATGCACCACGAGATCTAAATGCTTTATGCAAGTCAACTTGCTTTATCTTTGCAACTATGTGAAATACTTGCACAACTTGCAGAGAGGGAAACTGAGGCACATGGAAGCTTTCTTTTGCTGCTTTGCTGTTGTGACTCAAACAAATAGGTCACTGGCTATCTCAGCTCAAGTTCATGGTTTCTACTTCAGTTATACCTTTGATGGTAGAGACTTTGGGGACCTGATTAGAGAATCCAAATGACTCTTGCAACACCTTCTGGAAGAACATGTATTTCCAGTTCCCAAAGTCAACTTCTCTTCAAACTTTTGGAAAGAGATTCCTTTGGAAAGTCACTGCTGCTGGTGATTAGCAGGGGGGGGGGGGGGGGGAGGGGGGGCAGGGGTTGAGCCTCTGTGGAGTTGAGCTAAGTTAAAAGGGTGCTTACTCCCTGTACATCCTGGGGCTCACTCATTCTTCCACATTAGCAGCTCTGGCAGGCCTCCAGCTGTATGTGTTGGACAATCCACCTGACCTGGCCTAGTTTCCAGTGGCTCCTCACACATAACCCTCTGGAGACAGCTGTGCTGTTTCAAGAATCAGCTCCCACGTGGGAGGTCTGATTTACTGGGTGGCTCATGGGATTATCAAATATTTTAACTATTACTTGTCACTTGAATGGGAGCACTTTCCATACTCCCTTCACAGGTCGGCAGCAGGGAGATGGAAGAGAATTGTGTCCTTTCTGGCCCTTATTAAGAAGGGGCTGAGTACAGTATCTCCTTGTAAGGAATTGTAGAGTTGCTGCTGCCAATAGCTCTTATTTTTTTGCATCTGCTCCATGTCCTGGGCAGCATGTCCAGCTCTTTGTGTGCATTCTCTCAGTTTTACCAATAAGGAAACCAAAGTTTAGAGGATGGACTTACACCACAGGTAGAGTAGAGGTTGAAATTCCGGCTTGTCTCATTTTGAAGATTTGTTTTCCTGCCCACTAGGCTAGCTTGTCTACAGCTGCTGTGGTCCTCAGTAAGGATGAAGCGGGTGTTCCTGGGTGAATCTGCATACTAGGCAACTTGCAAAAATTCCCACTTGCCTCTGGAATCCATTGCTGGGATTGACTGGGTTTGTTTGGATGATTATGGACAAAAATTTGCATTTTGTGTTTCTAGCAGCTCAGGGTTTGGCAGCTGGGAGGGAAGTGGGTTGAATGAAGAGCTCAGAGCCTGGGAAGCAAGGGAGAAATGAGACTGAATTTAGAGACCAAACTCCTAAAGCCAGAGATGATAGCACACACAGGTAATCCCAGCACTTGGGGTGAGGGGTGGGGCAGGCCTGAGGCAAGCCTGAGCTACAAAGCAAGATGCTGTCTCAAAACACAAAAATAAAAAACCCAACTCAACCCAACCCAAAATATCAGCCTCCTTGACCCGGTAAGATGAAGGCTATACAAGTAGGTGACCAGGGGTTGGCTGCACAAACCTGGCTTACAGTGAATGGTAAAGTGATGAGCTTCGATCTACAGTTAGACTCATTTAGTTCAGACACTCCTTATTTGGAATCAACAAGCCAGCATCAGCCAGTTGAAGAAGTCCATTTCATTAAAGACATGCAAGTGAATAAGAAAACATGGGGTGGGGGCTGGTCCAGAGAAAATGGTTTTGTTGAATGTTCTGTGCTTTGGATATACAGTTCATTAAGTTCGTTTCCTTTCCCAGTTTATTAAAATGGCCCTTGCAGAGGTGGCTGTTAGTATGCAACCCGCTAGTTAGGGTTGTCGCCCTTCTCTTTGAAATGCCAGGGCCAATCTTTCTGTGATTTTGATCAGACTTCCTTCTGATTTAATGAGGTTTGACTGTGTCTGAAGTGTTTCATTATTGTACCCACAATAGCTTAGTAACGGCCAATAGTTGGTGTGCAGTGGTGTAGAACACAAATTTATGGTGTATACAGAGGACTGAAGGCATGATTGTCAATGAAGGAAAACCTAACTAATTGCTGTACATGGCTTGATTCCCCACTCAGACTTCCTTTTTGGAAAAGACCAGCTGCCCCTAGATCCATGTGGTTTTAGGGCTAGAAGGAGGCTTGGGTGTAGATGACATCTTTTCAGATGTTCTTCAGGAGCATGAATTTCCATAAGAACCCAACCCAAAGACAATTTTGAAAAACTCACATTATATATGCCCCAGTGGTCTGTCCCCCTCACCCAGTGTGATTCTTCACAGGCGAGCATTAGCATACTGGCTCTCCCATAAGGTCACTTCCCCCATCCCACCCATCCCTCTCTGTAGCTAGAGTTTTCCTGCCTGGCCCACAGTCAGGACAAATCTTTGTCACCCGCCAGTCCCACAGCCGCTCAGACCCAACCAAGTAAACACAGGGACTTATATTGCTTACAAACTGTATGGCTGTGGCAGGCTTCTTGCTAACTGTTCTTACAGCTTAAACTAATCCATTTCTATAAATCTATACCTTGCCACATGGCTCGTGGCTTACCAGCATCTTCACATGCTGTTTGTCATCGTGGCGGCTGGCAGTGTCTCTCTGACTCAGTCTTCCACTTCCCAGCTTTATTCTCCTCCTTGTCCCGCCTATACTTCCTGCCTGGCCACTGGCCAATCAGTGATTTATTTATTGACCAATCAGCAACACACTTGATATACAGACCATCCCACAGCACCTCTCCTTCATCTCAACCTCAATAATTCACCCAAAGAAACAACACCAGGCTTCCTTTGTAGCCTTAAGGAGTCCAGGATGTGAAGCAGGTTGTTCATTACATTTTTTTTTTTTTTTTACAATTTTGTTGTAACATTTTATTTTTATTTTTTGCAGTTCAAGATAGATATATTTACATGCATATTCAGGGCATGTGAAAGTTTCTGTATTTCTAAGATCATAAATTTGACTGATAAAGACTACTACTGAAGTATGGTGGCTCGTTCCTGTAATTCCAGCAATGGGGAGGCTGGGGCAGGAGGATGGCTACAAATCAGGCTTGCTTTGATTACATAACGAGGCCCTTGTCTTTAAAGAAAAAAAAACCAACAACAAAACCCATGCTGAACAACGAACTACTATTTAGTCTGGAGCACTGATCTATGTTGCCTTTCACAATCCTCCCTCCCTCCCTCCCTCCCTCCCCTCCCTCCCTCTTTCCCTCCCTCTCTTCCTCCCAAAAGCATGTAATGATTGACTGCCAAGGGACATCTACTGATGTTCGAGCTTCACTGAATAAAGTACTTACTACGCCTTTATGAGCCTCTACTGATGCTTAGCTGGTAAGGCAAGTTGTCCTGATTCCACCTAAGAGGATGGGTACATAGACATGGTTTCTAGGGACGGTGATGGGCTGTGCAGACCCACAACTTCCCTAGAGCTTTCTGGTGAACCAGCACACTCTTCTCCCAAGACTTGTTGAATGGGGCTGCAAGAAAGCCTCCCCCAGCTTGGGAGCATCTATAGCCCAAGTCCCTTTGGCAGCATGTTTGAATAGAAGGCTGGTTAGACGCAGCTGTGATCCGGTTTGTAATGGCGGCAAAGGCTACAATTCAAGCTGTTGTGCAAAGTTGGACACTTGGATGAAGCAGTGTTCCCTAAATGTTTCTCTGCTCACAGAGGGTGCTGCACAGGAGTTGGTGCCCACCACTGCTTTATGATGATGTGAGCCCAGTAGATGACGTTCAAAGGGGAGCTAAGGATTCATGTGTGGCTCCTAAAGAGCAGGGTAGGAAGAATCCATCTCTGCGGGCTCTGTGCTTATTCTAAACAGTTTATATTTAGGAAAGTCCGTCCATATGATCAGAACCTCTCTTTTCTTTATGGAACCCTTGAGATTAACACATCCATTCCCTTTATGGATGCTGGCGCCCTTGAGGTTAACACATCCATTCCCAATTTTAAAAATGAAGCAAGCTTATGGTCTGATTTTACTAGTGTTTTGTTTTGAATTTTTCCAACTCAGTAAGTGTTCCATTTGCAAAATCAGGACATGCTTTTTATTTTTATTTTTTTCCAACAAAAAAGAGGCATAGAATTGTGAGATCCTTTCTTAGGCTCAGTCCAGACATCTGTTTCTCTGAAGAACATTTGTCTTTTACATGAGTAATAACTAGGCAAAAAGAAACGAGAGAAATAGATGATCTTTGCTGCCATGGGGGATTATTTATAAAAGCACACCAGATCTCTAAAGCAGGGACAAGCTTCCCCCCTCAGCAGCCCCCTGGGTTTGCAAGAAATGTGTCCCAAGACCCTCAATGGATGACTGAAACTACAAAGAATATGGAGTTGTGTATCATACTCTCCTACTCATACATAATCATAGTAAAGTTCATTCTATGAATTAGGCATGATGTGGTGGTTTGAATGAGAGTGGCCCCCATACGCTCATTTATCTGTAAGCTTAGGTGGAACCTTTTGGGAAGGATTAGAAGGTGTGGCCTTGTTGGAGTAGGTGTGAGTGGTTTTGAGGTTTCAAAAGCCTATACCAGTCTCTCCTCTCTCTCTCTCTCTCTCTCTCTCTCTCTCTCTCTCTCTCTCTCTCTCTCTCTCTCTCTCCCCCTTTCCCCCTCCCTCCCTCCCTCCCTCCCTCCTTCCCTCCCTCCCTCTTTTCCTTTCTTCCTCTCTCCCTCCCTCTTTCTCTGCCTGCCTGCCTTCTTGTGGATTGGGATACAGGATACAAGCGCTCTGTCCCATGCCTGCCTGCTTGCCTGCCTGCCACGATAATAATGGATTAATCCTCTGAAACTCTAAGCAAGCCCCAATTAAATGCTTTCTTTTATGAGAATTGTCCTAGTCATGGTTTCTCTTCACAGTGATAGAATAACTAAGGCACATGGTAAAGAATTAATCATAATAACTAATAGGATAAAACTATTATAACAACACTCTTAAAATTTAGGATTTGTCTCATTCTAGAATTTCCCATGTAATATTTTGGACTATGGTTCACCACAGGTAACTAAGACCATGAAAATAAAACTGAACAGAATACTGTATGGGTATAATAAGAATACAGTAATCAAGATTTTTGTTGGAAGGAATGGCAAACCATGAACAGAACACAGAAACTGCTAGTTTCCACTACTGTTGCTGAGAGCATTAGGTTTGGAGGTTTCAGTTGAGGGCTGATTGAGCCCATTTTGCTTTTGGGTGTAGCCAGAAGTTTTCCTGTGTCCTGCAGGAAGTAAACACAGTAATTACAAACTGTTTGGTCTATGGCTCAGGCTCACTGCCAACTAGCTCTTTTATCTTAAATTAGTCCATTTCTATTAATCTACGTTTTGCCACATGGCTGTGGCATTACAGGTCTGCTGGCATCTTGCTCCATGGGAGGCAGGATCTCACTTTCCAGACTCCACCCTTCTTCTCCTGTACCTCTGCTTGGATTTCCTGTCTGGCTCTTATCCTGCCTTGCCATAGGCCAAAGCAGCTTTATTTATTAACCAATGGGAGCAACACATATTCACAGCGTACGGAAAGACCATCCCGCAGCAGTTGGGTCTGTGGGAAGGCAGTATTTCATACTGGTGTGGTGGTAGAAAGCTGACCTGTGGTGGGAGGAGTGTAAAGAGATGGTGAGGAAAACTAGGGGCCCTACAATCTTTTTCAAAGGCATATTCCCAGTGGTCTAAAAGCTACTAGGTTCCAACTCTTAAAGGCTCCATTGAGAGTGCGAAGCTGAGGACCCAACCTTTAGCACAGGGGCTTCAGAAGGCATTTAAGATCAAACAAACTGTAGCAATAATCATGCAAGCAGATGCCAGGAAATAGAATTAAAGTCTGTGATAGAAGAACTTCACAAATGATTACTAAAAGGATGAATTATGTAATGAACCTTGATGGGAGGATGAAGAAGCGTTTACCTTCACTACCAAGGGTAAAGTCACATCAAATTGAATTCAAGATAGGTTAAAAAGTAATCCATAATGCCGGGCGGTGGTGGTGCACGCCTTTAATCCCAGCACTCGGGAGGCAGAGCCAGGCGGATCTCTGTGAGTTCGAGGCCAGCCTGGGCTACCAAGTGAGTCCCAGGAAAGGCGCAAAGCTACACAGAGAAACCCTGTCTCGAAAAACAAAACAAAAAAAAAAACCAAAAAAAAAAAAAAAGTAATCCATAAAAGGAAACTTTAAGAAAACAGTAATGAAAACATGAATGATCATAGAATTGAAGATATCATAATGAAAATCAGTGGAATAGATGAAAAGTTGAAAATGAATACAT